GTGCATAATGACATTGCAAATTCAGACTACTTGAAACCTGTCATCCAAATCCAGGGGCTTTATGTAAAAAACAATCTCATTTTCATTTTATTCTCTGGGAACCCCTCCAAGGCAGAGTGAATTGCCAGCTTTTTGTGACCTTCAGTTCCTTAACTGCTCCCATAGGAAAACTGATCTTGGAACTGCAGAGAGGAATGGAACAGTTTTCAAATTGGTGTGGGGCAGGGGCAGAAGTTTCATTCTCTCTGTTCGTTGCTCAAACTTATGGGTTCTCCTACACTAAGATTTGTAGAACCTCTGAGGTCACAGAAATGGAGACAAAAGGTACGAAAAAGATACATATTACTTCCAAAAAGCATAGATAGAGAGACTGTCACACGGGATGGAGACTTAGTCAGCCAGGAACAATTTCCAGTGAAGCTTGCAGAATAAGACAATACTCGAGCTCCTCCAGATCACAGCTGATGCAGGGCTCTTGATTGCTTAGAACATTTCAAGACTGAAACAGAATTCAGAGTGCACAAGAATTCCTCCTTAACTAGAGATAGTTTCTACAGAGGTTGAAGCTGTACTCATAATAGATTTCCATTTTGTACAGAGACTTCATTGATTTCCCAACTGTTTGGAAAGGAGATGTCCATCTCATCATTGGTTTAACCAGGAAAGGTCTTGTGAATATGGAGACTCCAGGGGAATTCTGACCCCTGCTCATGAACACTGTTTTACAGGCATACAACAGAATAGGGGACTGTGGCTTCTTATGTTTCTCCTGGAATGAATTATTCTGCTCATAGGCACATTGGCTTCAAAGATTTTTGCCTTTAAGGCAAATCTTATTAAGTTACAATTAAATTATTTTCATCACACTATGGAAATCTAATTAGAATAACAGTATTATCACTCTGACCTGATAGAATTCTTTCTAGTCAAAAGAATAGAAACTGTTGTTTGTGTGGGTTTCTGTAGCCCAAGAGCAGGCTGTGTAGTCATTTGGCATTTTTAATATCCAAAAATAGCTCGTGGGCCCAGTTCTTACCATTTTTAGGGTTTAAGAATCCAGAGGACTGCTTGTGTATTAGAAAAAAACAGTGCAAAGAGTTGGAATCCCAAGATCATGGGACATGTTAGCTGAGAGAGATTGAGTACAGTATTCATAGGGACTGGGTCTCAGGTTTCTCATCAGAAAGGATGGCATCTAAATTGATTCTCATCCCATAGGGGCTGCTCTGATAAAACCACTGAGGCACTGGAAATTTTTAAAATGTATATAGCCTTCTCCAAGAAAAATTTCATTACAGAAACCAACTTTTTAGAAATATTGATAGGATAAATGAAAAATGTTTCTTTACTAAAATCAACCAAACAAAAGACAAAACAGTGTTTATGAACCAGGAGATAAGAATAATTTGCTTACACATCTTCATGAAGGGATCCAAATGCTGACCTGTGGGCAATTGTCATTGTCATTGTGTGTGTATGGCTATTTTCCTGGAGGAGAGGAAAATACTCTGATACTGAGTTTTATACATTTACAGGTCAAGAATATCTACTGAAGGCAGAAAGGGGGAGTAAATATGTACTCTGAGGATCTAAGCAAATAATTTAGAAAGGACTCCTTACGATTTACCCTTAGAACGCAAATAGTGCAGACACTGTGGGGGGAGGAGCATGTTTCCCGAAACAGCATTAAAGAACACGAATGTTTGAATCAGACTGACTCCACACGTTTCCCCCCTTGCTTATTCTGTAGCCTGTGTATTTTATATAGGTTTACTATGATAATTAAGTGATATGTATAGATAAAAAGGCAACAGTTCATGTCCTGGTCATAGAAACACTTGATCAAGGTGAAATGTTGTTAGACGTCCTTGTTTCAGCTACATACTTTGTTCTTTGTCCCAGGGCTTTAGTTCCTAAGAATGATAACACACAAATATAGTGCACATGAGGCCAGCTGGTTGGAAAGGGTACAGGTGGGTGTGTTCATGCAATTCCTGTTTGTAGGCTTTTGCTGCCACATTCTTGGTATGTCTGAGGCAGGTCTGTAAAAACAAGAAACTCTTTGATCAAAGATGTTCAGCTGACCACATTTTATGATGGCATTTCTTTATCTTTTTCTTATAAATGCTCAAGAATTGTGGCTGCTTTGGAATTTCTTCCAGATAGCTGATAAAATTCTTAGGATATATCTGAACAAAAGTGATCCTATGGCTGGGGGTAGAGGAAGGTTTATTGCTATAGATCATTTATTGCTTAAAAGTCATCCACGAACACTTGGGACTCCAATCCAATTTGGGTGTTTGGGTTGCAAGTGATAAGAGCCTTGACACCATAGGATGTTGATGGTTCTTCCTGCTTTCAACCTCTTGCTGCCCGAATTTCTTGGGCTTTGATGAAAGGATATTAGCTGAGTTGCATGAGACAGTAAACTCTGGAGTTCCCAGAGAAGGACAGGTTGGAGGTCATTTCTCTCAAAATAGTTTAGGTGCTATATGTCAGTTGGGATCCATGGGTTTGAGTTCATGGAATAGAAAAGGCCTGGGAATTAACTGTGTTTACTTAGGAAATATTCAGGACCCATACTATTTCAGTGACTAAAACCCTCAGAAATTCTTTCTTTTTCTCCTGCCTGTTGTTTCTTTGCTCTCCCCTCTGAGAAGGTCCAGACTACTTCAGTGCTGGCCTTTTGGTTATAGTAGCAGCCAATTGGCCAAGGCATGGCACATCCTAGGGCAGATGTCGAACCTCTGTATAAGTCAGCCTTAGTAACCTCCAGTTTGTGATCCTTTGTGTCCTCAACTCTGTGCCCTCATGAGGAAGACAAGAGGCTAGAAACCAGGCTGAGATGTGTGGAATCCTAGCTCAGCCTCTGACTCACTCACTACATGATCCTGGGCAAATTAATTAACTTCTGTGTTCTGATTTCCTCATATATAAAAAAATAATGCCTATTAATCCAAGTCAATCTCATGACTGACTATCCTCTATTTAATATCCAATATATAAGAAACAGAAAAGTGAGATATACCCTCAGGTTCTCCCAGTGTATATTTGGCTACGAGCCAGATACTGCACAGAAAGGTCCATCCCTAAGGCACCATGAATGAACCTGGCCAGTGTGTTTGAATGTTCTGAGACCTTTTGCTTTTCTTCAAAAGCACTTTCATTACTTGCCTTATCTAAAGACATCCTCTAGGTAGCGACAGACATTAAGTTTTTACAGAGGTTAACATCTTCCTGGAATTCAGAGTTTTCCATAACTCTCCATGCCAAACATTTCCGGGAAGCATCCAAGAGGAGTCTCAAATCACACATGAGGTTTGTATATGCAGTGGCCCAAATGACTTCATCTAGTTGAATATTACAGGCCCTGAAAATTCCAGCCACCAACCTGAAGGGATTCACTTCAGCTCTATACATGATGGACCAGAATGATATCAAATATCACCTGGTTGAAGACATAGCCCAGCCTCTCCCTAAAAGGACTTGAGAATAACAGGGCCTCCCTATAGTAGGTATAAGAGCCAGCCACCACCGATTGGGGTCTATGTGGTGGGAGTATTATAATGTTCCTGCAGTTAGAGCCATTATACTTAGAGCTGAAACCAAGAGTCACATTTGTTAAAAATAACATTTCCATTGCATAATCTGAACCATGGGGACTGAAGAAACAACAAACAGCTTCAGGGAGGTGGGATGCACGCACATCTAACATTTATGTCACTCAGAATGACAACAGAGAGAAAGGACTAAAAGAATTACTCAACAAAAACGGCGAAAAATCTGTCCCCCACAAAAGTAACATTTCCATAATATGTAGGCTTCAGGGGGAAAATTCCACACTTGTGATTACTTAATAACCTTATTCTTCCTAAAAAAAAAAAACCCCACTTAATAACTTGTTCCCATTAGTTATTTCTTCCCTATGCATGTTCCGTGATGGGCAAGGTTCTCTCCAAAGCCACAAGCTCTTGTGCCCGAGGCGTTTCAGAGATCAGGTTTGCATATGAGTCTTATGCTTGTTAATCATTAATCTGAGAGGGTCTTTGTGGTGTTTCTTTATTTTTAAATTTCCTGTGTTTCTGGGGATTGGACACAGAACGTTCACTTTGAGCTACATACCCATCCCTTTAAAAAAAGTTTTTAACCTGGAGATAGGGTTTTACTAAGTCACTAAGTTGTCTAGTCTGTCATTGAATTTATGATTCTCCTGCCTCAGCTTCCCAGGCTGCTGGGATTACAGGTGTGTGCCCCCAGTCTAGCTCCCTGTGGTGTTCACTACTCTGGGTAGGACACATACTATGATCGACAGAGAATATAGACTTCAGCTTCAGAGAAGGGTGCCCTGTATGTTACTATGGACAGACTCAGGCAATGGCTTTGGTAGTCCTCAGTTAAAAGCAGGAAATAGCCCTGCTTGAGTAAATGATTGACCTGGCTGCCTGCTGTGATAAGCCTCTGTAAATAGGCCTTATGCTGCTCCAGTAAATTTAGACTTTTAACTCCTTCAGTTCCAAAGCAGAAGAATACACATGGATCTCTGAGAGATCCTATCATCTGAGGATAGTGGCCCTCTGAATGGACAGTGTGTTTCTTAGAATTCTATGTACATTGTCATCTCTGTTATATTTTGACAGTGGAAAGAATTCATGCACACAAAACTCTGGAACAAAGTCTAGTGTATGAAAGCACTACTAATGGAAGACTTTCAATCACAAATATGATTTCTTATAATAAAAGACAAAAGGAAACCTTCCACATCTTTGAACTCTACAGAGGAACACCAAGAACTTCCAGAGGAAAGAAAAGGTTGAAGGATATACAGGCTACGCTCCAGACCATGCTGATGGATACATGGCTGAATTCCCCTGACACACACCCAGCTCCACCACACCTCCTTCATTCAGTAGGCCCCTATCATGCAGTCTGACTACAAGGCGAGGCAAGATTGTTGTCTTGTGATCTTGAGGGAAGGGCCAGTGGCCAGACAGACCGCCTACCTTTGCTGCTGCTTTTCAACCCAAGTTCTTCTCTAGTTGTTCCAACCTCTGCTGGGGAATATGGGACTTGGTGAAGAAGCATCAGCAGTTTTCTATTATTCCCTAGGCATGAAAGTGAGCTGCTTCCTCAGTTTCTTTCCCTGTTCTCTCAGGCTACACAGAGAACGGTCCAAGGAAGCAACTTGCTCGGAGCGAGGTGTATTGACAGATGTGAAGGAGGGAGTCTTCCCTGGCCCAGCCAATCATCACACACCAGGGCAGGCCTCTAGTCCTGGACGAATCCAACCATGGCACTGGGTGACAAAATCAGGCAGTGCGACAGTAAAGGGCAGAAAGCGGAGATTGAAAGCTATTGATTATACGGACAAGAAATTACCTTGCAACTAGATCTATGAAGTACACAAGAGACCCTGAGAGTAATTTATCTAAAAGAAGAAAACTTTGCTCCTTTAGATGTCAGCAGTTTTAGAAGGAGATTTGGAGGTCATTTCGGCAAACCTCCCATTTAATCGTAGAGTTTTTAAGGAACTTTTTATTTTTTGAGAACCATCTGGCTATTCTTTGTAGTGAGTAAGGCTGCATTTATGAAGATTACACTGTTTGCTACTCCATACACATTACCACACATCCTCATGATGACCTTGGGATTTTATTCCTTTTCTGTTGTTGAGGGAGCTGAGTCTCAAAGGGTGAATGGTCACATAACTAGCAGGTGATGAAGCTGGGTTTAGAACTCAGGTCTGCTGTAAAATCAATGCCAGTTAACAATAAAGTTTCCATGACACATTCCATGGGTGGAGGTTGAATAATAGCTCCCAAGACACCCACACCCAATCTCCAGAAGAATGTGTTACCTTACATGGTACAAGGATATGCAGGTGTGATGATTATGTTAAGGATCTTGAGATGGAAATATTTTCTCAATTGTTCATGAGGGCCCTCTGGAATCATACAGGCTGTCATGAGAAAGGAGAATCAGAGACGTGACTGAAAGATGCAGTAGGAACCGATAGTTCTGCACTCACTTTGGGCCTTTGGAAAGAGAATTGTCCTGATGGCTCATTTTAAACTTCTGACTCCATACGTGCAACGGAATACGTTTGCGTTTTGGTGAGTTGCCAAGTCTGTGGTAATTTGTTACAGCAGCAACAGATGATAATGCACACTCTCCTTGAAACTCTTTATGAGGGTGAGCTGTCTGTTTCACTTAGTATCCAACTGACATAAGAATGATCTTATTAACCACTTTATAGTTAACCCTGAGGGTCACCGGGCAGCTCATTTGTTTAGATACTGACAATCTGAAGCTCAAGCAGATATCGTGTCAACCAGTCAGTTCTTGTTTGCATTTGTATCACTATTTTTGCCTATGTTTTTATTTAGAACATTGTCTCACCTTTAGTAATTGTTTTTAGTGAGATCTAATAATAAAATTTGGTTATTTTCTTTTACTAATTAGTGTTTATCTTATTTGTGAAAAATAACCTGTAATTTTGTGCTACAGTCTATAAAAACTCTTATCATAAGTATGTTAGGTATAATTTTTTTTTTACTTCTCCAGAACTTGGTAATATTCTTTTACAATACAAAATGAACATGTTTGGGATACTGAGAGTGAACAGGAGAGAAGAGCCAAAGACCTAAGTGAAAGAGAAAATTGGAATAGTGAAAAATGTTAGCATATCAGCGAGGAAAAGTCTGTGTTATGAAATGGAAAGAAAAAAGACATCTCCTTATTGTAGAACTTGAAAGAAGAAATAAAACTAAAAAATAGTGGTCAATGATTATAATAATTTTATGGATGGTGTTGACAGAGTTGTCCAACATCTAACAAGCTATCCTGTAATTGAAAAGCGAGGAAAAATAGTATTATAAAATATTTATGCACCTTCTGGATTAAACGACATGGAACACATTTGTTACTGATTCAAAAGAAGGGAGTTCAAAAAGTAATTCAGAATGTAGATTAGGTCTAATAGACCAAATAATTGAAAAGTGAAATGCCAACCAGGACATCCATCATCAATGCCTTCATCATTAAATTTGATGGGAGGATGTTTTACTGAAATTATACCACCCACAGGGGGGAAAAAAAAGGAAAGGCCAACACAACAGTTCAAAGAAAAGTATGCTGTTCAAAGAAATACAATAATAGAAAAAGAATTTGGAGACTAGAGACTACTATCCAGATTTCATGTTGCATTGTATATTGAATTTTTAAGAAATATCATACACAGAAAAAATATTGAATAAATGTGATAAAATTATCATTTTATATTTCCTGTTATCTCACAAAAATTAATGGAAAAATGCAATTCTTGGTCATTTTGTATTTAAATAATTGGACTGGTAAGTGATTAAGCCAAGCTCCACCCTCTTGAAATGCCAACTCTTTGTTTCATTTCCTTTGGGCAGATAAAACACTCAGCAAGGCAGTTAGAAAATGCAGGAAGCAGTATTAGAAAGGATCGCAGAAGCTGGATTCTAGTCCCATCTCTGCATTAGCCACTCAGTTTTCTCCAGGCTTGCAATTTTCTTTTTCCCCTGTAAGAGTAGTGTCTGGCACAAATGTTCTTTAATCTCTAGATTTAAAGTTTTAGTTATCTAACATTTGAACATCTCCCTGTCACGTGTCTCTCAATTTTACCCTTCTAGTCCTCCCTTTCTTATGTATGTTGACCTCTGGACCCTTTCTTCTTCTCATTGCTCTTCCTCAGGAAGGCTCCAGGTTACTAACTTTCCTCTGAAGTGCAGTATCCAGATCTACACATGGTGCCCAGCCATCCCTGTCTAACAGCTTGCCTGCTTCCTCTGGTCCCTGACCATGGAGTCTTGCTATAGATGATCTAACTATCACCCAGGCTCTTTAAACTTGGCTTAGATTGTTCTTATCATGTTTTATCTGACTTTACTCTTGAAAGACAGCACCTGTACTGAAGAAAAATCCATGAGTCTTAAAGTAGTTTTTTCTTTTTTCTTAATACTAAGGACTAAAACATTTTTAACACCAGCCTACATTGACCATCCCTGCTTAACATTTACTGATAATTCACTCTCAAAGATACTAGAAATGTAGAGGTTTATAGCTTTTTAGGATCACAGATTCATTTGGAGAATATAGTGAAAGAAAGCTAAGGATCCTGTACCAGAAAAAAAAGTTCACATTCATCTGAGATTTTGTGTATTTTATGAAGTATTTCAGTTCTTCTGAAATAGCTCACTGGCTTCTCCACTATGGAGCAGTTCAGTTCTATTACAAGGTTGTTGGTGGGAAGGCTTTTGCAAAAGTCAGTTTATGTTTTCTTCCTCTTACACTCTCCAGAGGCCCTAGAAATGAAGTCCCTGAGCTTAGATTGAGTGAACACCCAGTGAGAATTAGGGCAGAAAATTTCCAGGCCAAAAAGAAGCTAAGTTCTCAGGTTAAACATAGAACAGCTTTCAGTAACCTCCCTTTGCAGTAAGAGCTTTGCTTCTCAGAGTGTTTCTATAGGGGATAAATCCTATTCTTTGGATGCCTGGCCCCTTAGATTAAAGCCATCTGATTGCCTAAGGCTCTTGCAATTGCGCACTGCTGCTGGACAGAGGCTGACACTTCTATATCTCCACTTTCCTTGTTACCCGAAACACAGCCCAGCTGTGAAAACACCCTGGTCTAACTAGTGCTTTTGTTTAAGTGGCTCTTGTCCAAGCTGTACTGGGTGAGGTTTGAGGCACATGGGCTTTGGCCGCTGTCCCTCCCTTGCAACCTCCTACCCTCTCTGAGAATGAAAGGTTTCAAGTCTTAAAAATAATAACTCTCCTTTGATCACAGTGAGTAGATTTGCAAAGGGGTAAACATAAATGTACTGTTGATTGAGAATTCCTGTGGGGGTTAAAACACACACACACACACACACACGTACACACACACACACTCACAATCCAGGACATTCAGGCATCCTAACTTGAGGAATGAGAAAAAGGAATTGCTTTCAAAATTTAAGAAGTGGGGTTTGCTCATTGCATTCCATTTATACTCAGCACAGCCATATATGGGACTGACTCCAAGATATTTATTTCCCCAATTTAAATTAAATTGCCCTCAACCCTGAAAAAAAAGAACAATATGGAGATTATGTGAGCATGGGGGTGGGGGGCTTCTGTAACTCTTTGGTTGCCAGTCTTAGGCAAAAGTGTGTGGTAGAATCAACTGCATTATTTTGTTTTTTTTTTCAAAAACTGGAAAAGATCATACACTTACATTATTCCATAGCGTCTTCACAAGGTGTTCTTTAAAAGCCTTAGTTAAATTTATTTTGAAATGAAACTTTTTATCATTGAACATTCTGAATCCCTTGCCATGAAGAGACGGTAACTATAACATAAATATAATACAATGTTATTGTTAGCTAAATACTATTGCTTTTTTGATGAATAAAGGAGAGACAAGTTTTACCAATAAATTGAGACTTCCCTCTTAATTAGTCTGAGTTGACTTGTGATTACCGATATTGTTAGTTAAGGTGAGGTCACCTTCTACTCCAGATCTTCATGTATACCACAAATGGCATCATTCCCACTCTTGGAGAAATTCAGATTAGGTCGACTAATTTCCCAATCAGCTACACACCAAAATACATATTTCCATTGACTTCTGAGATATAGCCTAAGAAATAAGAAATCAGAATCTCCAAGGATTGGATCTAGAAATATATATTATGAAGACTTTCAGATGAGGAAGCTTCCAGAGGTGGGAACCTGGGACAAATGCTGGGAAGTCATCTTTGGTGTCTTCTTCATATTCTGTTCATCTCTTTGCTGCTGCTGATCACTCCCTCTCATCTACAAAGAGAGAGAGGGACACAGGGAGAGGGGAGGAAGGAGGCAGGGGAGGGGAAGAGGAAGGGAGGAGAGGAGAGGAGAGGGGCTCAGTTTAAGCACTCAATACCATCCAGTTCCTTGACCTTCTGCTGCGAGGCCCTGTAACCCTGCCACACAAAGGCCTTTCACATTCTTTCACGGTCTGAACAGACCTGCATTGTCCTTCATTGATTAGATCCTGCTAAATAATTCAATCAACTCAAAAGTTACCAGTCAATCATGTTAAAAGGATTGTACTGGATGCTATTGGAGAAGGTAGGTGCAAAGTCATAGCCCTAGTACAAGACTACTGAATAATAGATACTACTGAATATTTCCTATGCACCATGTTCTGTGCTAAAATGCTTTGCATACATGTTGTTTGGTTTTCTCTCTATTTGGTTTACCACCTTCACAGGGCTGATTAGTGCATTATTTTATATACGTAGAAATAGATACAGAATTTACCTAAGGTCACAAAACCAAGATGTGATAAAGTTGGAAAAGAAACCCAAGTCTGCTCATCTATTTGTATAACCTTACCGTAATATAATAATCTGTGATTAGATATTAAGGAGATGCATAATGCAAGAGCTCCATTGCCATAGAGGAAGTGTTTCAACTGAACTGGACATTCAAAAATAGAGGCAGAACAGCAGTTTCCTGTGTAATTACACTATACAGGTCATACTGGCTTTGCTTACAGTTGAATCCAGTCCTATCTACATCTAATGATCTATCATTAAAAACAAATGAGAATTACTCAAGTGATTGATAAAGCCAACCAGAGACAGTATGGTAGTTTTACTAAACACTAACTACATATAAGGGCAGAATTTTTTTCTATGATATTCATAGTATTTTGTCATATAACTATATTAAATATTACAATATAGCTATGGTTTATTACATGTACATACAAAATATTATTGTTAATTACCTCTTCCAATGTTTGACTATAATAAATATTACTTGGAATTTGATCTCTGCTAAAGTCATACAAAATACTTTTAGTATCAATCCATTATTTTTGTAGGGGATAAAGCAAGAAATAAATTCATTGAAATTAAGTGCTGTTAGATATCCTATTGAAAAGAATTAGGAATATAATATTGAAATCTTCATTGCAACAGAAACTGCAGGTCCATTTTTACTGTGCACATAAATACATATTCTCAGCATTGCTCTATTTCTGGGCAGGTGGCAACAACTCAAATTAATGTGGGCTAGACATGATGGTCAAATGAGATTACGGACTTCAGTAAGGTCTGGTGCACGCTTAGTGTAGATAACAGGTGTTAAGGATGGGCCTGGAAAAGCATGGGACACATACATTTCATGCACAGCTCCTGCTGGAGACTGCATGCATTTGTAGCTAGACAGGACTGAGAAGGTTTTCATCCAATATTGCATAATAAGGTATTTTATTGACATCAAGTCCACAGCTCTTTAAGTCAGAAGTAGACAAATAATAAAATGTTCATTTACACAAAGGAAAAATGCAGATCAAAGTTTTATATTTCATATTAGATTGAAGCCCATTTAAGTCATTCAAATCAAATACAAGAAAACACATTATGTCATGGTATGTATTAACATTTTTTCACAGTTAAAATGAGGTATTCAGCTTAACAATGTTCTAGGCTGAATTAAACAGTTTAATCGAGGTTACAAGAAAGAAGAGATATATTTGAACAATTATATCCTAAAGGGAAAAAGGACAAATTTAATGTGTGTGGATAATTAAGCCACACAATACATTTTAAGAGTATTCAGCAGTACATATGCAAAATTTTTATCCTAACTTTAAATTGATATAATTTATTATTTTAACTTAGTAAACATGCACTCTAGTGTAAATGAGTAATAGAAGACAAAATGTAATACTTGTTATAGTATTTATCAGATACATAAATTATCTGATTTGACCAAGACTTATTTTCACTATGACAATTTCTGTATTTTTAAAGTGTTGATCAGTGAAGCTAAGTGTTGCAGTTGGCATATACACAATATAAATAATGCATACACGATCTGTATTTAATATTTATTAATATTGTGGTGTAAATTAATATAATAGCAGCAAGGCAGTATTACTTCTGCGTATGTTCTAAATTTATCATATTGATACTATCTATTGATTCTTAATTGAAGTGTTATTAGTGCTATGAACTAATAACAGATGTAAAATCGCAAATGTACAGAGAGCTACTAAAGGCCTATATTTGACCGTTCAAAGTGCTGTGCTTCTTATTGGGCTGAAACTTGTGAGCAAACCTGTGCTTTTTGATTTAAGTATTGATCCCAAGTTCTGGGTTCCAGTCAAGTACAGTTCTAATGCTGGAGTAGGGGTGAGAAGTGGAATAATTCATTTGAGAAGACAAAGGAGCCAACAACCACTGTGACAGAGGGTGCTGGATATTGCGGAGTGCATGTGTGTCTTCTGCTATCATCCTGTGCTTAAAAGTAACTAGCAGGAGATGGAGGATGGCTAGAAGACAGAAGAAAGTAGTATCCTATGAGAAGATAGGAAGAAAGGACACAGAAAATGCCTCTAGACCATCAGTGGGGCTCCTTAATAGGCTGTGGGACTGACTCCCAGAAGAGAGAGGGGAAATATTTTACCTAAATTATTTGCATTAGACGTGAATTTGATCATGTAAAGGTACAAGATCCCAATGATGAATGTAACTGTATTATAGACCTAAAATGTACCAATAAACTCAATGAAGAAAAAGAAGTGAATTTGAAAAGTTCTAAGAACAAGTTTTGTTGGAGAAGGTGCTAAAATACTATAAAGATGCTAACATACTGTATCCTTAAAGCAGGATAGCATTAGAATATTTTCACAGTGTATAAGACTGTGCTATTTTAAGGAAAAATCATTAACATTTTCTAGTGTATATTCCTAGGTCACTGTTTCTAATAAGAAGGTTGGGGAGTCTAAGGCTAAGGAGATAGCGGTTCTCTTGGGGGCAGTAAAGAGCTAGTCAAAGTGTCTGGAAAAAAGGGTAAAGATTCCCAGCAAACCACCTGTCATTTTATCTGTTCACTCCTGTGTGTCCCAAGGAAACGTTTGTGAGCCACAAAGCTATGGGACCAGCCTGAAGCAGAGGGCCAAGATGTACTAGAAGGTCAGTGGAATTTAGAGAGATAGCCATGTCCTTCTAGTCCATAGCATAGACTTCCTGCCCATTTGCATATTTAATGCTGTCAATTTATATTTGTTTCCTCTTACCACAAGCCTATTTAGCATGCATTGGGAAAGCGTGCATCTAAGGAACCCACATGCATGTTGGTAGATTTCTTTGAGCCCTGCATATTTCATTGTACAGACCAGATATGGTACCATACCTCGTCAAGTCCTGTGAACTTACACCACACTTTTGGGAAATGAGTCCAAAAAGTATTCTCCAAATATATGTCTAGAAGGAAGAATTACAACTGTACATCCCTTGAATACAAAGTATTTAATCTAAACATTAGACACCTATCTCAGGGTACTAGTCAACTGAGGTTTGCAAAGCACTCAGCACTAATATAGCAAGCAGTATTTTTATTAAAGAGGAAGGAACTAAGGATGACAGCACAGGATCACCTGCTCGGCTAAGGGGAGGGGAGTCTCATGGCTATGCCCCGTTCACTAGTCCACAGAGGAGTAACATTACAAAGCTTCAACCGTGGCGTGAACTCAGTCCGTGATGGCCTGGTTTTGTATAGAGCCCTTTTGCTTCCCAGGAAAAAGAAATCACTCCATTTCAGCCTGGATTTCTTCTGTTTCCACTGTTAGCTTTATCCTATGCATTCTTGCTAGGTTAGAATCATGCCTCTTTAGGAGCAATTTGTTAGATCAAGAAAATCAGAGATGGAAATCCTGACACACCAGAAAGCTTCATTTAATTTCCGAATGTTGCACTATACTGTCTCAGAGAGAAACATAAATTTTTTATGTGACTATGAAGTCCTGAAAGAACAGAGTTGCAAGATTCATCATTACGTAGGCTCAGATCTTGTGCTTTTCTTTGAATTTATATAAAATACTGGATTTGAACTGTGGAGTCTCAAAATTCAGGGGTCTTGACTCAACACTAAGGAAAATAACTAAACAATTACTATCAAATTTAATATAGCAAATACATTTTTATACTGTCTTCTTAAATGTACTATTATTATAAAATACTATAATCCTTAGTAATTTATCAGTACCTTCCATCAGATCCACCTTGACCTCTCCTTCCAGTCTAAGTAAGATCTCTACTCATGAATCCAAACTTTGTAACACCGCTTTAACTTACTTGATACCCTTTGCCACAAAATCATGGTGATGTGGCCATGTTGGAGCGGTCCATGGAGCTCAGGAAAACTCAGTTGAATTTCAGAATAAATATAAGCCCAGATTCTGTGAAACTCACTGAAGTCCTCACTGGCTCAGTCACATGGCTTTTTTTTTTTTACTAAACTTGAAATTAAATCTGAGCAAACGTGAGAGCACAGTTTTGATTAGAAAAGATCATAGAACTTGTGAGAACAAGAGATGTGGTTGTGCCAACGTTCTTACTGCTGGCTGTTGCAGAATGAGTTATTAAGCTAAAGTCTGTTTTCTCTCTGTGCCATGTGCCTCAGTTCTCCTGCTTGGCCTCATGGTTAAAGAGCAGAAAGCACACATTCTTTACCACATGGGAAGCCTTCCTTGGGGGCAAAGATTCATGTTTAATTAGGGGAAAATCATAAACAATCCTCCTCTGACTTCCCAGGACTTCTGTGCAGACTTCAAATCCAAGCACTGCTGATCACCCACAGCAGCATGAGGAAGTGGGTGCCCACACTCACCACACAGACCAGGGCTTCAAGCATGCAACCCTGGAAGCATTCTGTGCCTGTGCTACTCTCGGTGACTTTTCTCTTAGGATGCAGACACTGAGGTGCACTTAAATTTCACAATCCAAGTGAAGTGCAACTATATATTTAAAAACTAAGGAAGAAAATCACGTAAACATTTCACTGAACAGTCGGCAGCCACTGGATGACACTGGTGTCCTGTGCAGATACCTGTCAACACACCTGGCCTCATAGCACCAAACATCTGGACAAAGCTGAGGCTCAAATAAAACAGAGCAGTATAATTCACCTCTTGCCTCCTTATCTCTTTGTCAAGTACCAAAGGGTGAAAAGAGGGGAACCAATTGGGTCCCTGGCAATCGACCAAGAACTTAAAAAAAAAATCAAAATGAAACAGTATGAACAAAAATAAAATCTTGAGCGTAGGCCAGGGATTTCAGAGCTTGTCACCAAGGTTTAATATCAGACTTGAAGGAAAATCGAAAAAGTAAGGGCACTCCCTTCCTCATTACTACGCAGAGAAGGCCTCACAGAATTTGACATTACTATTCCAGAAACCTCTTTGGGGAGCAATTCAAATGCAAGAACAAGGCAAGTTAAGCCAGATTTTCCCAGAGGCATTTGAGTTGTGACTTCCTTGAGCCATGGAAGTAAAAAGTCAGGGCCTAAATTACTTTACAGGAAGTAAAGACTGGAAGATCAATAGTTGGGGGGCAAGTGTGTGCCTTTAGTTGCTCACCTAAGATACTCCCCATTGAGACAAATGCAAAACTGGCTATACAAAGGACAGAAATAAGAAACTGCTGGGAGAAGGGTCCAGTGATCTTTATAAATGTGCATATCCATTCAGGATTCCAGATTTTTATTTCCCGCTTAAGAATCCAGAAGCTAATACTTCCTTAGGAATTCTGATAGGGTGGAGGGGCATCAGATTGTCCACATCCCTATGCCCAGTTTTATCTCTAGCTCCCTTCTTTCCAGAATTCTGGAGAGTCTACTGCAAGAACTGAAGAGTTCTTCAAGACCCATTTCATCTTCTGTGCCAGGATGTGGCTTGGTAGTGGCTCCTTGAATGTGGACTACATCCAAACATAGTGCTCTCAGCAGGCTTGGGTATGCGGGGTTGGGGGCACATTTAGAGCATAGCCTGAGATCACTCGCAACCTGGGATGTGTGGTCCTACTAAAGGGAGGAAGACCATGGTAGAATCTGTCCTGGGCAACAAAAGGTCAATAAGCTTCTCTGTGAATGCTCCTGAGGTAAAAAACATGGCAAATACTAACTCTATAAATAAATAAATATATAAATAAATTAACCAAAATACAAGAGGTCTCCTTATAGGCAAGTACCTCTTATCAATAAAAAAGAACCCCCCTCTTGGGTTTCAAAACTCTCATGCAGTAGTGATAAATAGGCTCAGAACAATCTATAGAAAGTAGAACAATCATGACCAGAACTGGAAATGTTCCAACACTGTGTATTTCTCACTTGATGACACACAAGTCATCCTAAATGTCCCGAGGTAGTCTTGTTTTCAAGGAGTTACAGAATGGCTCCAAAGCCACTTGGAGCTTCCTCGTTTAATGCCATCGCACTTTCCCACACAGCCCAGAAGAGCCTCCATGGCGTCATGGATGGGTGCCTGCTACTGAGCACTGTGTCCCACTGGGTCTAGGCAGGCAACAATGAAGTGCAATTCCAAGATCTGGCTGGAAGACCCTACTCCAAAGAGGTCTTGGCCAAAATGATGCAGGTGCTTACCTGGCAGTCATTTTGGGAAAAAACTAATACATTAAATCAAAGAAATCTGGCATGCAGCCAACATGCGTGTCTTTTGTTGGGCCCCACAGTGAAAAGATCTGCCATTATTGTTCTTTTCACTTTTAAGAAGGGGCCAAAAGAAATAGAAACGAATCCTTATTTTAAAAGTGAGAAACATATTCTGATACCAAGGGCAGTGGGTACTGTTTATCTGAAGAATCAAGGTGATCAGTTACCTGCACAAGCCGTGCATGAACAGTGGTAACTGAAATACTGTGGTGATAAGTAGGTCTCACTCTCTCAGGCAAGAGGTGGTGACACCCAGTAGTCCTAGAGAGAACTGGTACTGGGCCCTACCCTCTGAACCCCCAGATTGAAGTGAGAGGTACCAGGCAGGGCAGTCCACAATAATAACTAGCCATGTTTTCAACAGGAATGCCCTTCTAGTTTAGCATTCCCATGGCTCAAACACAAGACCCTGGAAGACAGTAGGGAACTAGGCCAGTCAGAGGAAATTCTATACTCCAGTAGAACTTGGAGAACTTATTTTCATAATCCATTCACCAACATAAGCCACTGGGGAGATGCTGATCTTCATCACATAAAAATGATCCCTTGGACTTAAAAGTGTTTTTTTTTTTAAGTCTCATTTGGGAAAAATGCAATTAAAAGCCTTGTAATTTTATCCAAATGGCCCGGTGAGGAAGGAAATGAAAAAGCCCTTATCCTCCTTACTCACTATACCACCACTGACTAGGGGCCATCTTCATAAGAAACCTTCAGAACTCTATCCTGAATCAACAACTTCAACATTAAATTAAACAAAAAATTAAGTCAGCATTTAGCCAAGGATCTGTCCTCTTGTAGAAGGTCATTCAGCTCAATGACAGTTGTGGCAAAGTCCACCAGGTCCACGAAGTCAGATGTGATGATGTTGACACCCATAGCTCCAGGCTTCTGAATTTTCACCCAGTCCAGGATTGCAGGAAGATTCCTACAGAAAAGTGTTGGGGAAAGAGACAAAAGAGAGAAGAGTTTAAGATTCCCCCCGAAATAAAGACAGAACATTTACATTAATATAACAAAAGTATGACAATGAAGGCACAAGCCCTCAGGGGTATGTTAATTTAAGCTTTACATGTTCATCATGGATGAAGCAGTCTATATTCGACCAGAGAATTAAAACTTTTCAGAGCTTGATGGGAAAGGAGGTTACTTACCTAGTGCATCAAAGTGATAATAACCATGTCAAGAGAAGCTTGAAACACTAAGCTGAGGACTCTAATTATTTGTACTTCCTTTGATTTTTTTTAAAGTCGTGAAAAATTTCAAACATAACACACGAAAAGAATTCCACATTAGGTAAAATTCTACCACTCGAGTCTACCATTATGGTTTAGCTATACAGTACTTCCTTGCCACATATCTACCCTCAAACTGCCTTCCCAGCAATCCATGTCATATTTTGTTATAGTCCAGTTATATCTATATAGCCCCGAAATGATTCAGCATCCATGTAACTATCATGCATAAGGTACTTGTTTCCAGCTTTGTTTTCTTCTGAAATAAAGGTTCTATTCAATAAAATACACACTTCTTAAGTGTATTCTTGGTGAAAGTTGATAAATATATGCAAATAAAGCAAACCCCTATCAAGGTACAGAGCATTACCAACACCCTAGAGAGTTCTGGCATGCGCTTTCTCAACCAGTCCTTCCTGTGTCTTCCCAGAGGCAGCACTGTGATGGTCACTCTTCTGTGAGTCTTTTCATGTATCTTAGATAAATACCAATTAATACAATTACTGTTTTATAAGGTTGGTTTACATTTATTTTTATTAGGTACTGACAGACCTTTCTCAAAGAGATCATTCCATTGTGTGCTCCCACCAACAGTGCATGAGTTTAAAATTTGGTGATATAAGTCTTTTTTTTTTTTTTTTTTTTGGTACCAGGGATTGAACTCGGGTCCTTGTGCTTGCAAGGCAGGCCACCGAACAGCTGAGCTAAATCCCCGGCCCATGATATAAGTTTTTTTAATTTTAGTTATTCTAGTGGGAGTGCAGAGGTATCTCCCAGTTTTAATGTATACTCTTTCCAGTGCATAATGGTGGCAATTTGTCATGTGTCGAGCATTTGCATATCTTCTTGGAAGTATCTGTTTAGCTCTTTTACTTTCATTTTTTTCATTATCTGTTCTTAAATGTTGAATTGCAGAAGTTATTCATACAATCTAGACACCAGCCTTTTGTCAGATATACTTTGTATTTTCTTCCATCTTCTAGCTTGTCTTTAATTTTCTCAATGACATTTTGATGAGTTGAATTCCTTAATTTTAATGAACTTTGAGCCTTTTCTTTTACAATTTCTGTGATCTAACAAATATTTGCTTGTTGACGATTCACAAAGATATTGTTTTCTTCTAAAAGTTTTATGAATTTAGATTTTACGTTTAGTTCTAAGAGCCATCTCAAGTTAATTTTTGTGTAGGTGCTGCCAAAGCAAGCACTCAAGTTAATTTTTGTATGTGGCACAAATAGGGATCAGGGTTTACCTTTTCCACACAAATAGACAGATTTACTATGTGAGAGACTGGATAGACTAATATTTTTAAAAAATCAGTTGTTGCATGAACGCAGTATCATTTCACAAACTGAAGGTTTCCTATGTGACAGTCCAAAAGTTTTGCCCCAAGTAGCTCAGCATGAAGAAACATAAGTAATTTCAATTCAAGAGGATGACTTCTCTATTCATAGTAAGAGTGAAAATACTGCTGTACACAGAAAGCAAAAAGTGTGCTAAAAAACAGTTCACTAATATTCAATAGGGTGAAAATGATTTAAGGAAGGCAGAAACTAGTGTTTATGTAAGTTTAAGGGATTGAAGTATTTTTTAGCAAAGATTTGCTGTGGACGATAATTGAAAATAAAAGTATTATCTCAATTGGGTCCCTTTTTCTTCTTTTAGTCACACTCTCTTTGGCTTTCATTTTTCTCTTTTCTTCTTTAAACCTGCCCTCTCTTCCTTCAGAACACACCCTGATTTCTCAGTGTTCTAGAAAGGCAGTGCTGCTGAGGCCTTCATGGCAGTTTTCCCTCTTTTTCTCTTAACCTGGGTCCCTTTTCTCCCTCAGTGGACTCTATAATCAAATACATCCTAAAACACATGCCAGTAATCAATTTACATTTTTCTATTAATAGCTGGCTATAACTTAATAGACTTCCTTCTTTTTATAGCTGGAATTCTGAAAATATAATAATCACAATCTGATCTTCAATTACTGAATTTCACTGTCCTCAGCCCCTTCCCCTGTCAAATGGGGATAATGACACCTCAGACAGATTTTGGAGGGATTATGTAAAATAACATATAAAGTATTTAGAGTAGAGTCTGGGATATAGTAAGTACCATGTAAGCATTTAGTACAAGAAAAAGAATCATAAAATAGTGAAATCTTGCTGCTTATACAACAAAATGTTGTGAGCTGAGAATTCAGGGCTACAAACACAGACTTGCTTGGAGACACCTTCCTGTGGCCCGTGTGAAGGACACAGCAGTACCAGGTAAGCATTCAAGATTAAAAAAAAAAAAAAAAAAAAAAATCCTTAGTATGAAATGCCTGCGCCATCTCCTGGTCATTGTGGGGAAATGAGAATTGGAGGCTTGGAGGCCACCTCAGCCAACTGCAGCCCCAGCCAAACCTTGGAGATGCCTGGGGCCCGAGCAGAGAAATGTGGGTAGAGTATATACCTGTGGTTCTCAGGAACAGAGTTCCATGTCTGGTTCAGGTTGTATTTGTCAACCTTCCCCGAGGCAAGAATCAGATTAGCAGGATTATATACACAGAAAGGAAAATACAGAACCTTGTCTAAAGAGCAGCGGCTTCATTTTCTTAACTCTTGGAATGTACCAAGATGAAAAAGATCCATGCAAAAGACTCGGCCAGACGACACTGACAGGTCCCCAAGACAACAAGCCCCACAGGTCTGACCTTGTGGCCCACCCAAGCACAGAGCTGGGCCACTGAGTTTCTTTAGAAACAGAGATGGCATGCTTATTTTGTGCCAGGCACTGTAATAGGCATTTTCAGTTTAAGACTACAATCTTGTACAATATTCTTTACCCCACTTAATGGGTGAGGATCAGAAATCTTAGAAAACTTGTCCAACTCCACCTCCTTGCCAACAAATACATTAATTTGCTAAAGCCACCATAACAAAATATGCACTAGTTGTCTCAAACAACTGAGTTCTATTTTCTCCTCTTCCAGAGGCTATTGCCAAGATTAAGGCCCTAGAAGTTTGGTTTCTCCTTTGACCCCTCTCCTTGGTTTGCAGACGACCATCTTCTCACTGTCTTTTTATGTGGTGTCTTCTCTGTGCACACGTCCCTGGTATCTCTTTGTGTGTCTCCAGTCCCCATTTCAAGGACACCACTCAGATTAGGTCCCACACCAATGGTATCATTTGAATTTAATCATTTGTTTTTTTTTTTTTTTTTTTAGTAGTGGGATTGAACGCTGGACCTATTGCATTCTAGGCAAACACTCTACCACTGAGCTACATCCCCAGCCTACTAATTACCTCTTTATAAAGCCTTTTACTAAATGTAGTCACGTGAGGTGGTGAAAGGTTAGGGCTTTAATATATGAATTTTGGTGGAGGGGGCATAGTTCAGCCCGTAACAGGGACTGTGTCAGGCTTCAATCTCAAGCCTTCTGATTTCAATCCATGCCCCCTTCTAGAGGCTGCTCTATCCTCTTTCCATGGCTGTTCTGTCCTTGGGCTTAGGAAGAACTAATTTTTGATTGATTTCAGTGGGAATGCTATGAATCTGAATGTCTGGGTTCTGACAATCTGGGGAAACCACCGTAGAGATTTAGCCAGATTGGCTATGTGTTTGCAGCTTCCTTCTAGGGTGAACAATCAAGATGAACAAGATGTCAGGTCCAAAGTTCACCTAAGAGTTGGGGAGTTAACTCGCTGCTAAGAAAGTCACCTCTGCATTTATAGGAAAACATACATTGTCATCTCTCCTTGGTTTGAGCAGATAATCAGTGTGTAGGATGGACTAGGAAGCTTATCAGCCCAGCCAGACTCTGAGGAGACACTACTAAAGGGAAGACTTTCTGAATGTCTGTACAAACTTGGACTTGCCCAACTGTTCCGAGGAAATGGCCACTACGCACTGCTCTGGCATCTGGGAACAAATTCGCGACCAGAGCTGTATTTGCGCCTATAGCTGATGTGCAGACACAGGAATGCATGACCACACTAGTGACATTCTTGCGACCAGAAGGGGTTAAGATTCCAAGGTATCTTTCCAGGCTAGGGACACCTGGCTGCTGCTATCTGCTGGGCAAGGACTGGCACACTGGAATACCTTGGCTTTAGGTACAGGCCACCACCATTATCTTAGACAGAGCCTAGGATTCATCAGCAGCCAGTTCTGAGAGCTTAACAATATGGAAATTATGGTGATGTGTGGGCTAACACTTGCCACCAGTGGGATCTGACAGATCCAGGACAAATAAGCCAATGATAGGCTGTGGAGCAGAAGGGAAGAGGCACTGAAATTGGGTGTATCACACCAGTTCTGCACACTAGAAAAGCCAGTGGGCCAGGTTATTGACTCTTTCTAGCTATGCAGTCTGGGTCACTTAGCTTCCCTAGGGCCCATCTTATGTCACAAGGATAAAGTACATCAGACAATATGCCTCTATTTACACAGCCTGTCACTGATTTAAGAATCTAATGAAATAATTTATAAAAAGGTGCTTTATTTATATTTAGAATATACTTATATTTAGAATATAAAGGTATTATTTTAGAATATATATTTACTATATTTAGTACACAAATATAAATTCTTGTTTTTAATTATTCTCTATCACTATAGATCTCTGCATATCTAATCATTTATCACCTATCTATCATCTATCTATCTATCTATCTATCTATCTATCTATCTATCTATCTATCTATCTAATGGTACTGGGGATTGACTCAGAGACTTTGTACTAAGCTATATCCCTAGTCTTTTTTATAGGGTCTTGCTAAATCACTAAGTTGCGCAGGTAGGACCTGAACTTGCGATCCTCCCACCTCAGTCTCCAAGTGTGCTGGAATGACAGACAGGCACCACCACGCATGTACTGCACAGACATTTCATTTTTCAGAGTGATTTTCAAATTGCTTTATAGAAATGTCCATGTTAGTCTTTCATGCAAGATTGAATTCTACAAGGCAGAAACTATATCACTGATCTTGTACATGTTCTTTTGCACTATCTACTTCTAGGCACTCAGTGTAGTGAATGAACTAATTAGAAGTATTCATTTGTTTCATTTGTACTATTAGTTTCTCTTGGTTTGTTTTTTGTAAGGAAGAGTCTCTTGTGTCTGACTTGTGCTCTGAGTAACATTTTGGCCATTCTTTTATGAATAAGACACAGTACACAATATATTAACTATTGTTACTGTCTAATTTTCTTTTATAAAATTTTGTTTTAGGGCCTGGGATTTAGCTCAGTGGCACCATGCCTGCCTTAAAAGCACAGAGTCCCGAGTTTGATCCCTGGTACTGTACCAAAAAAGAAAGAATGAAAAAAAAAATTTAATAGAATAAAAATGCTTTGTATATTTTTATAAATATCTACATATATTAATTTTAAAATAATTAATTAAAAATAGTTAATCTACAAATTTATCAAAGGCATGAGGAAAAATGATATGGATGGATGGCCATATATTAAGAAGAAAGAGTTTTTAATTCTAGATCTTTCAAAGAGATATCATACTAGTATATGAAATCCTGTTTTTCCAAGCTGAGTTCAACTGTTTTAGTTAGGACTTAATCAATCCCCACAGAAAAGGGTTTCTGGTTCTGTTCATGATTGATATAATCAGGAGCTCTCACCATGAAAGAAAAATGCCAATGCCTCTTGCTCGTGAAACTCCCGACTAGGTAATCACTGTCATCTGAACTCATGCTAACCTAGTTCAGAGCCAGACCAGCAGGGCCATACGTTGGACGAACCTGTCACTATCTGAGCTGTGTACTCACCATATGGAACTCAGGAACCAAACTGATCTTGTAAATATGTTTTGTTACTTAAACATATTAGCTTTTCAAGTTAAGATTCCAAGGGATGCCCTGTTGTCCCAAAATACTTATAACATTCCAACATTCCTTTTATACATATGCACATATATATGAATATATATAGAGACACACATACAAATATACACACACATCTACATATACATATATATCTAAATCCCTTTTCTTGGCAACATTGATTATGCATTGGTATTCAGGATAAAGAACATCATCTCATGAAAATGTCTGCACTGGAGTGTTTCCTGCTCTAGTTATGTAGTCACGTTTAATGTTGCCCTGAGGACGTTTCTGAAGTTACGGCTTGGTACGTTAGGACTCATGGTAAACATCGAAGGAAGAAGAAATTTTTAAGGGCTGACTCTGAATTCCAATCACCTAGCACAGTGCTATACATTAAATGCTTCTTAAATGAGTGAGCACTCAGGCTAAGGCAGGGGCAGACCATGATGAGTTCCTGTGTCAGAAGAGGACAGTTCAAGTATTTAACTTAGTATAACAATTTAGAGAATATTTGTGGATTTTAAATACATTTAAAAAAAAAGTGTTTAGGGTTCCGGGAACAATTAATGCAATCACCTTCAAATATGCAGCTTTTTCAAGCATGTTCTTTGTGTTTTTTTTAAATCCCTCAAACTATAAATTTTACTTTTGTGTATTTAGAAGAGCTTCAAGATAGATGTTGTTTAAAAACCTTATCTGTGGAGTAGAAGCGAACTCTTACCTATGAACCAAAGTGTTCTTGAGGCCGCCCACCAGGCCCCTGGCGATGGTGTTCACTCTGGGGGTGAGAATGGCCTGAGAGACGTGGAAGGAGCCTTGTGGGGCTCGCTCACTCAGGGTGGTCTCCAGGAAGAGAATTAGTTTGCGCACACTTGTGGTATTTGCCCAAGGTGCTGGAATTTTCTTTCCGGGCCACAGGAAGGAATATTGCTTGTAGAAGGGACAGTGGTAGAAAATAAGAACCTGAAATGTTCAGAAGAGCAAAAGAACAATTTATGAAAAAGCTGAACATTAACCATTTGATTTTACACTGATTTTTTATATAAATGTATATGGAAATTAAAGAATCTCATATATTTAAAAAAATCAATAAGCAAAGATTTACAGTGCATTTGGTACTTGGCTGATGTAAAGATTTTTTTTTTACTGTTGTTACAAACACCTATGATAAAATCAGACCAGTTTCTCAGAACTTTTTTTTGTTGTTGTTTTTTGAGACAGGGTCTCACTATGTAGCTGAGACTGACCTGGAACTCACTATGTAGCCCAGGCTGGTCTTGAACTCACAGGGGTCCTCCTGCCTCAGATTCCTCAGTGCTGGGATTATAGGTGTGCGCCACCATGGCCGCTTTCAGAACTGTGTTTTAAATCAGTGCATGAAATAAAATGCACAACATTACAAAAGAAATCAATGACACAGACTATACCTTTCAAAATATTAAATACATTTATAATACATGTAATGTGCTTTGTGATAAATGAGTTAAATGAAATTATTTTGTTGTGAGTCCAGTTAAGCTCCATAACTTTGAGTTAGTAATAGCACAGATGATGATATCTTCAATAACTGAAATGTGGTATGTTCACATCTTTGGGGTAAGTAGCAGGTAGGGCCACCGCTCATAAATGATGAGTATATGACGTTTTAGTTAAAGACCAGTAAAAACGAATCTGTAATTTTTTACCATTAAATTTACTCTTGTTAAATTCTATACATACAGCCCCTGGGAAGTCTTTGGACCCGAGACTAAAAACATTTGGGGTGAGCTAGCTCATAGGGTCCAGAATTCATTTCCTGTGCTCATGAAGTTGACACTGAACTCTTGGAGCTGAACTAATCTGTGAGTACACAGGTTTTCAATTGTGCCTGTGAACTGATCCTGGTGAAACTGCCTTTCCCAGGAGAGGGAGGGAGTGAGCTGCTAGGTCAGGGAAGACTTCGCTGAAGTGGAGTCTCCAGGGGGACTGCTCAGGATGACGGTAATTTTGAAAATAATTAGCAAGCCACATCCACAGCATTAATTAGTTTCTGGGAGGCAGCTGTGGACAGGGAATTGCTATTTTGATTGTCCCAATTCAGAGCTCTGTTGGGTAGGTTTCTAGAAGTCATGGTTTGTCTCCTCAGAGGGAGCAGTGAGCTCTGCCTGGGGGAATGTATGTGTACCATGCCTGGACCATGGTCCTCAGCCAGTTGGCCCAGAGTATAATCTTCCAGCCTCCCATGAACGAGGCTCTGCATGTCATCTTGTTTCTCAGTGTTCGTTCAGCTGGTACGAAGGCACCTGATGAGCTACTCCTTAAGGCCCAGAGCTGGGAGTTCCAGGCTGGATGCATCACAAGGGGTAATGGCTATTCTTGTTTTTATTGGTTCTGAGTAACGCTGACTGACTGCTAATGATGGCTGTGGTGAACACATGTGCTAATGAGGTTAATCGCAGGCTCATCTTAAACAGATCGCCTGGGTTAGAAGGGAGGATTTCCTCCATCCTCCCGGGTGATGCAATTGGCTAGTTTGGAAGGCCAGGACCAGGGAAGTGAGCTGCCTGCCTTGGGCAATAGGCAGGTGGGAGGCTGTGCGGCCCTGTGACAGGCCTTGTCACAAGGTGTGCCCGGGACAGGCTTGTCACACAGTATCCTGTGACTGGTACCTGGTCCCGTGTCAGGGCACAAGAGGACAGTTCAGTCCTTTATCTTAGAAAAGGTGGACATAGAACAAATTAGGCAGAAGGAGCTGAGTTTCCTGAAGAGCCTTGTTGAACTGAAGGTTATGGGAATTTTCTTCCTGCAGTAGGAATTTAGCTTAGCAAGAGAACTCTCCTACAGCAAGAATCCAGGGGCAGTTACTCTTGCCTGGAGCACATTTTGTGTCTGTATCCCTACCTCACTCTCTGCCTTTTTTCCCTGAGATACTCTCCTCTCCAGCTCAGCAGTTCATATTCAGTTTTTCTCTTGAGACTCAAACTTAAAAAAATCTAATTTCCTCTAAGAACCATTCCTTAATTGACCTCCACTTATTCTGATTGTTCCTTTACTGAGTGCCTCTGGGATGCAAATTGATGCTATGTTCTACTTTTGAACTAGTTGATTACAAAACCTCCTTCGTCATATTGTACAGAACATTTGAGGCAGTCTTATCTTGCAATTGTATATCAATTGTTTTGTATTTCACTAAGGTTATGCATTTTTTCCCTTGTCTTTATGATCCTGAACACTTCCAAGATGTAGATTAAATCTTCTAATTCATTGTATCCTCAAAACCCACCTCCTATATAGTATATAAGTATGTATCTGTGAGCTGTTGTAATTGCAAGATTAGTAAATGAAATTTGAATGGCAGCACACTTCTCAATATTGAATTGTAGTAATAAAATACTCTTGGAGTTACATTAAAGTAGCTCATTACATAATGAATATTTAAAATCTGATCACCCTTGAGACACCACCCTAGCAGGGGAGAGGTGACTGGTAACTCTCTTTGAGATCGCCTTTCAACTTTTAAGAAGAGATACAAAAGGGAAAACAGAGGGGAAGGAAGGAGCATAGAGGGTCTTAGGATGTAAACTGGTGGTACTCTCCATTTCTCTGATACGTCAGGAGTCTCCTTCTTAACTTTCGGGAGTATTTGTAGTGGGATGACACACTTAAATTAGCCCACACTTAAAACTAAGATCATCAGTACGTTGCTAGAAATTCACTGTCCACACAATTGATTATTCCTGAAGGTTCTTCTTACTCCTGGAGATTTTTATTTATCTTAGTATGCAATACAGCAGCAATTAGAATATTGTGTGTACAGAATTATAAAATTTTGTATGAGCTCAAAATTTAATCTGATATGAATCGTATTCAAAGGCCACCCTTTTCTTCCATTCTGTTAACTCTCTAAGGGCCTCTGACAACGGGGGCTTATTAATAAAGACAAAGTATTTGTGTCAGTGTCACAAACGATAGCAGCTGTGAATGTCATTCGGGTGTGTGAACAGCCTGCAGAGGGCAGTGGAAACTGGGAATCTGCAGCAGAGACCATCTGTGAATGAATCCTGGTTTCACCACTCACTGACTGCACTCTCCTGGGAAGCTGCTTAGTCTCCCTATTTCTCAGTTTCCTCTTCTTTAAGTGGGGATAATAACAAAATTTCTACCTTGTGGTGTTGTTGAGAGGATAAAATGGGTGAATCCAGCGCCTCCCTCATTGGAATAGCTTAATAAACATGAGTTGTTATTGTTACTACTACCTAGTGATCTAAGACAGAAATTCTGCTGGAAGTAAAATCTCTCCAAGTTAGACCCACAAGGAGAGACAGACATAAATCTCGCTTTGTGGGAGAGATGTGATACATATTGACAAAGTGCTATTTACAAAACTTTTACTGAGGTAAAATGGTTAAGATATATTTTAACAAATACCTAGACTTAACCCTTGAAGCCTCCATGGAGTCAAAGACAGCACTCTTACTGGTGCGGTGTGCAAAGTGACCTGGTATTTCCAGTTACTCAGGCTAAACCCGAATCTTTTGCTTTCTTTTACTCCTGTAATCTATCCATTAGGAGTCCCTGTGGGCTGTACTTTCCGATGGATTCCTAATATAACCACTTGCCTGCTCCCTGATGTTTTCTAGCACAGGAGCCAAGAGGGATCCCACTAAAGCCTGAGACTCAAGAAACTCCTGACGTTGATTGTCCCTCTGACCTCTTCCTGCTACTTAGCCCTTGCCTGCTCAGCAGCATCACTATATCTGTTTTTCCTCAAAAATTTCAGTGACCTCCCTGCTTTAGGGCTTCTGGCTGCTTCCTCTGTCCCCCAAGACCAATCTGATTTATCCCTTCAAATGCCATCTTTTCAATGAGGGCTGCTAGACTCAACCTATGTAAAACTGCAACCCACTGTTCTACCCACAGAGCCTGCTGGTTCCCCTTATACCACAAGAGACTTTGTCTATAGCTCATATCACTATACATATGGTATTTATTATCTTTTTTCTACAATCTCTCTCCCCTTGAATGAAACCTCCTTTAGGGCAAAGATCTTATTTTATTTACTCATTTATCCTTAATCCTTAGAATGGTGCTTGATACTTATTTGGTGTCAATAAATATTTACAAACAATCTTTAACTTATTTTTAATTAAAAGATCCTTTTAATTTGCTCAATGAATCTACTGAGCAAGTGAGCAACTCTGTTTGCATTGTTATTTATTTATTTTTGTACTAGAGATCCAGCTCAGGACCTTGTGCTTTTGAGGCAGGTGCAGTGGCACTGAGCTTTGAGCCAAACAACCCCATGCCCAACTGAGCAACTTTGAATGAAAAGTATTTGCTGGTTTTTTGTTTTTGTTTGTTTTCATAAAGGGAGTCTAAATTGGAGACTTCTTTGCCCTGAAGCTCCTCCCTTCCTCTATCATCCCTTAGGGACTGAGTGGAATGTGTCTAACGCCTACATTCATTTTCCAGACTCTCCTTCATGGGCTTAGGTTTGGAGGCTCCTTTCTGCTGAGGCAGTCTGGGAAAGGCTCCTGGCTTCTCCCTTCCTTAACTTTTCTCTTCTTTTTTTTTTTTCTTTTTATTGAGGTTATTGGTACAATCTAGGTATACAATACAATTACATTCATTATTGGGATCTTGTACCTTTACATAATAGGTCTTGATTCTCATTTTTCCCCTTGTCCCTGCCCTCCCTTCACCCCCTCCTCCCCTCCCCATTTACAAACACTTTATTTCCATTTTTTCAGTTTCTCATATTTTTTTCCTCTCCCTTATTACCTTTCCCCCACACTTCTCTTACTATGACCCAAATTTCATGAAGACCTTTTAATGTATGAACATTCCTGCGAAGCATGATTTCAAGTGCTTCTTCAGCTGATGGTTTTTCTTATCACTTGATACCTCCACAAGAATTGTCTGAGGTGACCCAGGTGGGGGTGAAAATGGACCTCATGGGGGACAGAATGGTAACAACTGACCCACTTCCCAATTTTGCCTTGGGCTGGCTCTGGCCATTCAAAGTCAATTCAGCTGTCAAACAGATTGCACAACAGCTTAAATATTTGGCAGTTAGCCTGATTCAACAGGACCCAGGGAAGCCCATTAAACTATGATAGCACTCAGGAACCAATCTATAAATGTTTAGTGTTTAAAAACCCACACATAGCTTTTGAGCCCTGGGTTGAGCTATTTTAGAGGGCAATCTAGGAAAAGCAAAAGGAGTTAGGTTCTTGCCCTTGTAAGTTCATCGCTGCTTCCTTCCTACCTGGTACTTCTTCTCCCACAGGGTCAGCAGGGTCAGACTTTCCACACTGCAGGCTGGGCACAGCTTGTTTCCAAATACCTCCTGGATCTGGAGAATCAAGCATCTGTGATGGGCCTCGTCCATGGCATAGAAGTGGTTGAAATCCAGGAAGATGATCTCTTGGGGGTGCTGTGTAAGGAATGAGTCCATCTCCATGAGCCCATCCCAGACCTTGATCCCAAAAAGCCCATGAATGAAGTAAATCTCCTGGTCAGCGTCCCCTGGTTTAGAAGACACACGCAGGTCAAAGTAGCGGATTCCAGCTTCCAGCTGCTCTCGGAAGGTCAGGTTCTGAGTCACAGACCATTTCTTCATGAGCTTCTTCACCAAGGAGATCTTGGCCAGGCGTTTGATCGCTGGGGTCTGGTCAGGCCCCACTGGGGACTTTTCATCTACCCAGTAGCTGAATGAATCATGGGAACCTGTACAAAGCAATGAAGGAGGGGGGATGATGAGACTGAAGCTGGGAAAACTAAGCCAAATGATAAGAGAACAACAATTAAGAACCAAATATATAAAAGCATTGTAAATGAATACTTGCAAAAATTGCAATCCTGCTGGGAATGAAATAAACACAAACAACAGTAATATAGTCTTATTAGCAGCTCAAGCCCAGGGTAATACCATAAATCTTATATATTGCCAGTATAAGGTAAATTAATAATATTCTTTTGGAAAGCTACTTAGAAATATGCTTAGAAATAGGAGCTTTAAAATATTCATACCATTTGATCTAGTAATTTCATTTCATGAAAGCTATTCTGAGAAAAAAACCCTCAAATATTTGGAAAAACAAAAAGGTTCCTAAAGCATATCCATAACAGACAAACTGGAGGTTAAGTTCCTCTCAAAGAATGCTTAACGGTGGGATGTATTCATTAATGCTGGCTTTAAAAAAAGGGTATGAAAATACTATCTCACTAATTCTGGCACAGGCATTTTAATTCTAGGAAAGAATTTCAAAAAAGAATTTGACTGCTTTTCATGCTTTTACTCGGCTTTTTGTTTTTGGTGGTACTGGGGACTGAACTCTGGAATTGCTGAGGAACCCCCCCCATCTTTCCCCCACTCTGCCACCTTTCTATTTTGAGACAGGGTCTTGCTGACTTGCCAGGCTAGGCTCAACTGTGATCCTCCTGCATGGGCCTCCTAATTAGCTTTTTATTAATGCTTTTAAAGTATAAAGTATTTAAAATGATAAATGTGCATGGTATTTTACTACTGTAAAAACCTTAGTAGGAATGATTTCTTGACAGATCAGATAAACATTTAGATGGACTCAACAGAGGTTGGTGATACTATTTTTGAACTAATAATATTTTGAAGTGCTATTAAATGGTCCAAATGCATGTTTCCTTTCCCTTCTTTAAACAGCAGGAGGCTTCATATCCTCTGAGACACTGAGATCATCTTGTTATAGAGTATGAGTGATTATGATAGGCACATTTCTAACTGTAGTGAACAAATATTTCAGAAGCAAATGTTTTTAGATGAAAATTATCTTTAATCACTATCATCCATTATCATATTTATTACTCTCTAACTCATGCAACGGGCTAATTTGGTTTGTGTTGTGGCATAAAAAAATCTAAGAGAACTCCTTGTTCTGACACTGCTAACCTTGCCCTTAATCTTTACATCACACTGAAACTAAAATTCTGTGTTTCTTAACTCATTATCACCAGTAATCCATTTTACTCATTTCAGAGTAGAAAATTTGTATATAATATAGACTTTTGCAAATCTCTAGTTTTATATTATGTCCATACTCTTGAAAAATGAATCATAGTTCTGCTTTTACTATTTTATCATCACAGATATAAAGTAGGCTTTACTAATTTATTATTTCAGTTATAAAGTGAAAAAAACAGTTGATGAAAAAGACTTTAATTTTATGTGCATCTAGAAAATGGAAGAGACTCAGCAAGTATTTAAAAAAACACATTTATTAATCCTTAGGCAAACTGAATTTTGCAAGTGGGATAATTACCAGCATATTTCAGGTAAAACAGATTGTCACTGCTAACAGAAATGTGGAGCACGTCCCCATGGATCTCTGGCGTTGGTTATTGCTGTTAATGGTACCCACCGGATACTTGTCCAACGCTCTGCTTCCTTTAGCTGTTCAGAAACAGGACATTTTTATATCTTCTATTGCGAGATTTATTATGTCTAGCTTATGCGTCCATGGTGAGCAGCCAGTTTCTCTTCTTTTAAAACTGTATTAACAGTCCCGCTGTTCAAGATGCAGTGTGTCATGTAGTATGAGGCACATATTGGACTTAATTCTTCTGGGCATCAGGGAATAGCCATTATCCAGGCATGGAAGAGAGACAAATCCCCTCTGGTGTTTGCTTGCTGGTACTAAGTCCAGTTTCAGCTCCAGAGGGAGGTTTGCTAACAACCTCCAACACTTGGCTCCATGTCTGAGGACTGCAGAAATGTGACAGCAATGGGACCCCAGGGATTGTTTCTGAAGGCACAGGGACACACATGGTACCCACAGAAGAGGGAGAACCTGTGCATTCCATGGACCCCAGAGTCCTTTTACCTTTTTGCCTCCTGTTTGATACTCGGGCCTGTCTTATCCTTTCTGATGTCCTGTGCTCTATACCCACCTCCCTGTGTTTCTCACACAGGGTAAGACGATGGAGCAGATTTTTGTTTGTGAATGTTTTTTTTCTTGTGGTCCTACCTATGTCCACACCAATTAAAAGCATCAATCACTCAGTTGCCACTATAAATATTTTTGCCTTTCTACTCATTAATTTTTTCTAGAAAGCTTTTGCCCCATATAGAGTGAAATGACATTTAAGTAATATGACGCACTTCAGTGCATTTAACTATTTTCAAATAGGCTAAAAATGCTGTGGATTTTGCAAATAGTTCTAATAAGAAACCCTAATAGTTTACAATGCAAATTTATCATCTAAACTTTCCTCCCATCTTTCTTCCCATGGAAGCTATTTTAGTTGTTAAATACAGCTGACAGTAAGAAAATGCTTCCCTCTGTCCTGGGATATGAAAATGAAATCCATGCACTTCAGAGAAGAGGAGAAAGAAAATACTGTTCATTGGTCCTTGCTTTCTCTAAGAGGACTGCTACGTGAGACAGCCCTTTCTGGCTTGTCTAATGGTAAAGTCAGAAAGCAGTTTAGGATCTCACATGGTGTGACTTTCTGCCACTGAAACTACTTCTACTGCCATCACCCAGCATTTCCTAGGCATCTTCACTCACCCTGAAGATGGCTCTTATATTTCTTTCTGAAAAAGAGTTCGGCGTGGCCTTGACTTGAAGCATGCTTCCCCATACATCTTGTCCTTTACACTGATGTCTTCTCTTTTCTTCTCATGGTCAAAATCTTGGATGTCCTGACCAGCCCTGCTGTATTTGTCTGCTATGATCCCATTCACTCCCTATCACCCCTAAGTCATCTCTTCTCCTTCCATTGTAACTCTTGATCCCGACAACTTTCTAACTTATTCTTCTTGGTTTTGAGCATTTGCCAGGACACTTTTCTGGAACCTTCTACTCCTTTGTGCTCAGTAGTACAGCTGCATGCTTCTGGTGTTCTAGGCTTCCTTCATCTTTCTTTCCTGTGTCCTTTGTTTACTCCTCTTCCTTTTTTGTCCCAAATTTAAATGTTTTCTGAGGATGTGTTCTCTATTTTTTTTTTTTTTTTTTTTTACTTTTCTCACCTTCAGAGATTCCACACTTTTCCCAGTTAACCACAGGAACATTATGTAGGTGACAGTTCAGACCCTTCTAAATTGCCAATTTATGTTTTCACCTTCCTACAGGGATCCCCCAGAGGACAGCTGGGGCACAAAACGACCTACAGACTTTCAGGTTCAGTTACTTACAAGGCGCCTCTCTTGAATTTCTGTCAGCAGTTCACTCAGTCACTTGGACTTGAAACCTTGGATTCCATTTAAATTCTTCCCCTCCCTTCACCCCTTTCTTCTAATCAGCTACCAAACTTTATGTTTGGCTTTTGCCACATATGTCAAATTTTTCTCTTCCCTTGACCTTCAACTGCCACTCTTCCTCAATATACTTATTAGTGTCAAACACAATCAGGACTAAAAGAACCCTAATCCTTTCAGCCCAGCCTCTCTCTAATTTGTTCATATTCAAAAGGAAGGCAGTTATCTCAAGGTAGACCTCCAATTATGACCGTTGCCTCCTATCTCCAAAATCAGGTCCCAAGACTAACAGAGTTAGGACTTTCTCCAACATGGATCTAATGCTCATCTCACACTCGTCTTTCATGAGGGCCTCCATGTCACCTGGTGTCACTGGGCTGCAATACACAAAGATAAACAAGTTTCTTTCTGGGCTTCGTTCACTCTCTTCTGTTGAGGCCTTATATGAACTATCTTTCATTCCAAGTCTGTCTACATTTTCTCCCTAGCATTTACAACCCATAAGTTAGTTGCTTACTCTGTGTTTTAGTTTCCTCATTTATAAAAGGGGCATAAAAAGGCCTATCACCACAAAATTGTAAATACTGAAAAGTATACAAAGTACTTATAACAATTGTGACACCTATTAAGTGCCAAACTAACACAATGATTATTATTAGCCATTATCCATGGGTTAGAATGCAGACGGAGATGGGCTTCTAAACCACAGCTTCTCATAAACACTACAGGTCTGGAATATTTTCTTTTCTGTACTCAACTCCCTGTTCCTTTCCATCTTATTGGCTGATATGCAGATGATACTTTAGCATCCATATTGTGCAAAGTAGTCACTTACTCTCTTGGTCACAGACTAAACTATGTCTTTAAGGGCTTCTAAAATCTTAACATTCAATTTCTTGCTTTCTGCTCACAAGTTAACTTTTTTTCTGCCTCATTGCAACTGGACTTCTATCTTTCCCTGCAGTCTCAGCTTTTACTGAAGCACTGGCTTTTACTTCATTCTTTAGCTATATCCAAGGTTATTCATTTGCCATTTTTATCGCAGAACTAAAGTCACTGGTACAGCACTTTATCTGTCTATACAGGCAAATCATGTAGATAGCCTGAAGATGCATATGGAAATATTAATGAAACTTTCTAACATATTTTTTGATTAACAACAGTTTTTCTCCTCTTTTCCAATATTTGCCATTTATAGAATAAACCCAATGAGGTTTTAAGAAACAGTTGGCATCAAATATTAGATGAGTGTTTTCAGTCTTCTGAGGTTTGCTGTCAAGACTATAGGCATACATGTCTTTCCTTAATTTTATGTGCCTAGGACTAATTTAGGCCTTAAGAAGATGAGTGATTTTTTTCCCCCCAGTCTCTAGAAACTTGGTTTTCTGCAAAATTCTTAGTTTCAGAATTACCACCCTTGCCTCTTCCTCCTTTCTTGGACCATTGATAGGCATTAGTAATATTCCTTTTTCCTCATTTATGCACATGCAAAACC